ATCTCACTTTGCAATTAAAAACAAATAAATCTTGAAAAGAAATATTCAGGATAGGCAAATGTAGATCAGAGATTGCCTAAGCCTAGAGGACAAGGTAGTATGGGGGGGGGGTGATGGAAAAGATCCAAAACTGACTGTGGAAATGATGGCCAAGCCTGGAATCTGATGGTGCATCAAAGAGCTTGTCAAAGGCAGAACTAAAAGCTGAGGAGTTTTCCCAAAAAATGCATGAAAATACAAATTTTGAATAAATATGAATTTCAGCATATCTCCACCAAAATAAAGCTTTCCATTCCATTTTCCACGAACATTTTGAAGTTCTCCCATGTACTAAAATACTAAAAACCACTGGACTGTTATAATTTAATAGATGAATTAAATGGTACATGAATTTCAAGAAAACTGATATTTAAAAAACAAAAATATTCACACAACTTGAAAAATTTTGATTGCTACATCAAACTCCACGGCGTCTGTCCCTTGGTCAGCTCTCCTCTCTGGCCCGACTGCCCCCTCACCAGCAGCCTTCTGTGGCGCCCTTTCAGAACACACACACACAGACCAAATGGGAAGAAGGGGTCGAGAGGTCCAAGCTGGAAAAAAGAAAAATATTTCACACCAAACTTAGTTTCTCAACATAACTATTTTCTTTGAAAAAAACACAAGTCTTGTCAAAGTCATCTATTTCGATAGCGTTTGAGCTTAGAAGAATATGTTGCTCTACAAGCACAATAGGAATTATCTGCTAAGCTACAGATGTAGTCTCACAATGGTGGTCTTTGAAATGGTCACTATGAGGAAAGACAGCATTTTTGTAGCATTTCAGAAATATTCTGACCCATAGCAATAGCTATGCTTTGATCCCAGAAAACAATTTGGGGGCTCCCAGGTCTGATTAGCAGACTCCACTTGGCCTTGGCTCACCTCCTGGGGAACACCAGGTTTCTTTGCTAGGATACTTTGGAAGAGGCTGTGCAGAACATTAAGCAAACAAATGAGTCATAGGCTTCCTCTTAACCTCCATAACCAATATAGGACTCACAGAGTGGGTAAACCATTAAAAACAAAAATTGCTAATGAACAGAGATGTGAGGCAGCTGCCTGTTTGCAGATGGGCTTTCTGTTTAGATCAATGAAACTGCTCAAGTACTTGGGATCCAGTGCTGCTAATGTGTACCCTGGGAGGCAGCAGTACTGGGAGGTTCAAGCACTTGGCACCCTGCTACTCACAAGGAGGTCAAAGAATGAATTCCAGGTTCCTTCCTTCAGCTGGCTCAGCCCCACCATTGCAGGTATTTGGGAGCAAATCAGAAATGGAAAATCAGTCTCTCTCTCTCTCTCTCCTCTATCCCTCCCCCCCTTTCTTTGACACACACACAGACACAGAGATACACCTGCCTTTTAAATAAACAGATTAAATACTTATTCAAACGACAGGGCTTCAATTTCCATGAAAGGCTTTCACCAATCTCCACAGTCTAACAAAGGCAAATGGCTCCTAACTTGACTGTAAGCAACAACTGGACACTAGCTTGAGCTGTAAGAGGATTTTACAGGATCAAAAGGAAAGAGCAATCACTTCTGATTAGGAGACAGAGGAAGAACTTGCCAACAAGGTGACATTTAGCTGGGCTAAAGGGTTCGTCCCCCTTTGCTAGGTTGATTTGTTACAAATCAGGGCATGTGCTCTGTCTCCCCAAAACATATTACAGATAAAATAGGACCTCAAGCTGTGAACAGATGAGTATATACAGTCTACTCCCAAAAACTTTCCAAAAAATAAATAAATATATATATTTATATATATATAAAACTTTCCCATCCCGCCTAGACTGCTTCCACCACCTCCAATATTCCTTTACCATGCTGATACGATTCCTGTGTCACTGTCACTTTGCACTTGTTACTACGATGAAATATATACCCACTGTGTTTTTCCTAAGGATTGTCACTTTAATTTTCCCCCATTAAACTGTATAGAGGAGAGCAAAAAACCACCCATTTTTCTCTTATCTTCCCAACATACTCCTGAAATACATAGATACTCAACAGATCCTGGGACAAATTAAACTTAGTCCCAAATACTTGTAACAGGAAGTAATCACCATCACAAAAGATGTTTGTGGAGCAGATGTAAAACTAAACCACACTTCTGAACAAAGAGCACTCAGATTATGCCTTTCTTCAACAATGGTCCAACTGCTGCTCTCTGATCCAATGCAATTTGTTCAGAAAGGTATTCATTTTTTAAAAATGCATGTACTCAAGCACCCTGCACAGATGATTGTCTTTTCCTGTCACAAGGCCATAAAGTAACACGCTTACAGGATACCAGAATGGTACCAGGTAACCAGTGAGCCTGCTTAGACATGTAGGCCACTCCCAGCTTAAGCACACAAGGGAAGGTCCCCAACTCCAGAAACATCTTGGCCATGTGCACATTGAAAACAATGTGTCCCTCACAATGTGGAAAGCACACAGGAGAAAAATGTGTTTGCCAGGAAATACAGCCTCCAGATTTCAAAGATAATTCCTTCTGAATGTTTTCTTTATATGGGCTCCTTTAAAAGCTCAGGAATTTGCTTCTCTATTGTCTAAGTAAGCTGGTAAGTAAACAAGACAGAAACTTAGAAACTTGGTTGAGCCATTTATTTTCTATACAGAAAGAAGAAAATTTTGCCTAAAATCGTCCCAGAGATCTTTAACACAAAAGATTAAAATAATGTAGAATGTATGGTACTACAATGCCGATAAGACAACCGTTGTGGGGAGGGGTGCTGGCTGTCACCCTGGTGCCTTAAGGGAAACCACAGCTCTGGAGGCTGACTTCCCACAGCCGGGTGCAGATTGAAGTGCTGGTTCTCCACTTCCGATCCAACTTCCTGCTAATGTACGTGGGACCGCAGTGAGTGGATGACCCAAGTGCTTGGGTCCCTGCCATCCATGTAAGAGATCTGGATGCAGTTCATGGCTCCAGTTTGGCCTGGTCCAGGTCCGGCTGTTTACTCCGGTGGTAAATCACCAGACAGAAGATCCAGATCTCGTTACCTCTCCTCCCACCCAGTCCCCATACACCAGACACTCTGTCATCCAAAGAAATAAATCTTTTTTAAAAGATTACACACCATCATGCTTTTATGCATCTTCATTTCCTAAATTCTGCCAGAATTACTTTTCAAATGTTACCTAAAATTGGCTTTCAGTTTCCCAAATATGTTTCTGTTTTTATTGCTGAGCCTGTTCCCCCATTCAGTTACCAGTGAGCTAGTCAATGAACATTTTACAAAGTTGTTGTTGGTGCTGCTTAAAAAAAAAAATCCAGGTGTTCCAAACTAAATAACTCTGTTAGAGAAACAATGCTACAAAATAAGAGTGGAGAAGAAGACAGGATGGAATGTTAATTTTGGTAGTGGGGGGGAGGGGGAAAAACTACAGAATAACACACCCACTGCTACTTTGTTTATATGGCTGTAACTTGCACATGCAAGTACTCTACAAAGTATTGCACAAGAACAAACTGTCAAAAATGAAGGCTTATGAAAACATCCTTTTCTATATAAGGCCTCAAACAAGGGACATGTTGTTTCTGTGATTTCTTTGGCAAGTACTGGCAGGTACAGCACCGGGATAATGCTCAAAATCAAAAGGCCTCTCACACTCACTTTATCAACAATAAAAGTCGCTGCTACTAACCATAATGCTTGTAAGTTTAGTAGTAGAAACCGACTTCACCAAAGATACCTGCTAGGCAGAACAGCATTTCAAAACAAACTATATGGCCACAAAGCATCTATTTTTTTTTTCCTAGTCCTATAGACAGACCCTAACAACCTGTTTGGTTGTGGGTTTTGTTTTTATTTCCCCTCTTCCAAAAATGACGGAGAGTAACGGTTCAAAAAGGCTCAGACAAATTTAGTTCTAACTCAAGTTCTTGCCCCTTACCAGTACACAGTCCAGCGCTCTCTCGCGCAGCTCGCTCCCTCTTTTCCCTTTCAAATCTTGATCTGTGATAACTTAATGCTCCCAAATGAATTGCAAATTCACAAGAAATGAGATTTAAGGGAACCAGGAACCAAAACGGGATGGCAGGAAACACTGACGGCGATCAAGACCCCATTCTGCCCTAAAATCAGCCTCCCTGGTACGAAGGAAATGAGACTGTGCCCAATGAACCTGCCGCCTGCAAGCAACAACTTCCATCAAAAGTTGCAAGGGCGAGCTCAGCGCCCGTGCTGAGCCCAGACCCGGAACAGCAGCAGAGACCCGGGGCAGGCCTGGCTAGGGACGGCGGTGGGGGGGGCCCACCCACCCGGGCTCCTGAAAGCTCCAGGTCCGGGGTGCGCGGCCGGCCCCGGGCTGCGCGGGCACCGCGCCCGCGTCCGCACCCCTCCCCACCACCGCGAGCTGTGGGCGGAGAGACGAGAGCAAAGGAAGAGGCGGACAATGCCGGGCAGGGCTGGCGCCCTCGGCGGGTGCCCGCTGCCCCCTGACCGCCCGGGACCGCGCTAAGTTTGCTTTCCCAGCCTTCCCTTCCCTGCCCCGGCGGGCGATGCCCAGGCCGCGCCGACCTCCCCCCCTCCACCCCGCGGCCGCCGCCTGTCTCCCGGCGGGGCGGCTCCCGCGAGTCGGCGAGCGAGAGGCGGCGCGCTAGCCAAGCCGGGCGCGCGAGGAGGCGCGAGGGGACGGCGGCGCGCGCCGCTGGAGCCGGGCACCCGAGGGGCAGGGGGCGCGCGGCGCTGCCCGCCGACCCGCCGGCGCTCGGGCGCCTCTACGGTTGCAGCCGGCGCTGCCGCGACTGGGTGTCCGTTAGGAGTCCTCGCCCGGGCGGCGCAGCCTGCCAGCCATCCCGGCCCGAGCCCCTCCAGGAAGGGCACCCGGGCGAGGGGCCGGCCGCCTCGGCTCCCGCTGGGGCTGGTGGCCGGTGGCCGGCGAGCATCTCGGCGCCCGCCCCAGGCTGGAAGAGAAAGTGAAATGAAGCGCCTTTCCCGGGCAACACCTACCTGTCCCCAGTTGGAGCGTCGCTGCCTCGCTCCTCAGGCGCCGCCGGTCCCCGCCCTCGGGCCCCAGGCTCCGTTCTCTTGACAATGGCGCGTCCCCTTTAAGAAATAATCCGATCGGAACCGATCCGCGGTCCAGCCTCCCTCCGACTCGGATTTTCACCGGATTTCTCGCTCGCCCGTTCGCTCGCTCGCTCTCCCAGAGCCCGACGGGCGCCCGGCGGTGCTGCGAGTTTTTCCCACCCCCTGCCTGCCCCGCCCACCTCCGCGCCTTTCTGATTGGCGAGCGTCCTACAACAGGAACAGCAGCTCTCGCCCTCCACTGGCCAGCTCAGCCGCCGCTCAGGGTTACGCCCACCCCCGGCCCCGCCCCCAGGCCCCGGTTGGCTGGGCTCCTGATCACTCTCTGTCCTCTCCCCTAACGTTGCTCTGGAGAACTGGCAGTCAAGGCTCACCCTCCCGCCTCCGGAAAGCGAACTTTATTGTTATTGGTGAAAGGACATCTTCCTGTGTCCCTGATTGGGCCGGGACGCACGCCCCTTACCCATTCTGGCTGTCCCTGTCTGGGCTTGAGAAATACAGCCGCAAAGTCTTCTTCCCTACTTCGCCGTCTTCAGAGCGTTTTTCCCTCTAGATGCGGCTCGGGGTCAGCGGCCGCTTCGCATCCTGCGTTTGAGGCCAGCGGGAACGGGAGACGAGGCTGAGCGTGGCGTCCGGAGCCTGGGGTCCGGCGGTCTGAGGGAAAGGCGTGCGGCCGAGCGCGGGATGAAAACCTCGGAGAATCCCGGCCGCTGCTCGTCGGCGCTGCGTCGCCCGGTCCCCTCCGCTCCCGCCGGCGGCTCCCCTGGCGTCTGCCACCCGGAAGAGCTTGAACAAAAGCGCCTGCAAAGCTCGAGGTCCCAGTCTTGGCCTCGCCGCCGTGGGTCTGGAGGATCCCCCTGCACGTCTCTCGAGTTGGCGTGGAAGCCCCGCGTCCCTAGTGTGTGGTCGCGCCGGTCCCTCCCGAGTAAAGTGACTTTTGTGGAGAAGACTGAGTAGGCGGCCGCCCACGGTGCCCACCTCAGAATGAGGCGGACTTCGGCCCCAGCGGCTGGGATTGTGGACAGGGGGGACACACTGCCAGGTGCCCCACCCGCCCTCCTCACAGCCCAGGCGCGCACCCGAGGGCTGCAACACCGGAGCGGCAGCCTCGGGGTGGTCGCGCTTGGGTGGGTGGGTGAGGGTACGACTTGGGCATCTCAGCAACCCGCCGAGCTGTGAAGAAGAAGCACAAGGCTTATTTCCACACTGACAGTGCAGTTACTCTTCTGGTACTCATCCTGGAAGTTAGGAGGAAACAAGGAAGTGTTCTGCCCCTGTACCAATGAACTTTGCGATGGGCTGTTGCACGTTGGAGGACTTCGGCCGTATTAGGCAGTACTCTAGAAGCAAGCTTTAGTGCCAGAGGAGAGAATAAACCTCGATTAGCTGACAGGTTTTTGTTATTTCCCCCCCAAAAATTTCCTGAATATAACATTGAGTATCCATCTCCAGTGGCAACATGTGTCAAAGAACTGGCTGATTTACATCTGATTCAGTTGGCAGAGATAGATGAGCGCTGTATTTTCAGCAGCCATCGCTTGGTGGCTGTGGGTGGTGGTCCCTGGATGCCTGAAGTGTGTGGATGATCCAGACCTTGAAGTCACATGGCCCAGGAATTTGCGCGTGTAACCTGCAAACATCTTTCTGAACACTTCCATCAGTTACTCAGCCTACCATGTACAATGCAAATGCCAGGGAGATCGCTGTTACACTGTATTGTTTAGGGAATAATGAGAAGGAAAGTCTGGGCTGGCTCTCTAGAGACAGATCCCTCCTGGGATACTCACCAGCAACAATGTAACCTTATCCCCAGCATGGCCAATGTGGAGCCTACCAATATAGGGGCTGACTGTGACACCAGGGTGTTTGCCACTGCAGCCACCCAAGCTCAAGTCTTGTGAGTTTTCTCCTCTTACGCTTTCAAGAATGCTTCTGGGAGCTAGTAATTTACTTTAGAACATGGTAAGGATAAGAATATTATCCAGTACGATCTCCTGGAGATAAAAGCATACAGTATTTCTGATGTGTATGCACCTGAAATGTTTGCTTAAGGTCTAGGGGAATATTTTCATTTTTTTCTTAAAATACCTGTTTTGTAACATCCAGCTTCTTATTGCCTTGTTTTGTTAGGAAAGCACCTTGAGGAGTGTTTAGGTTCTTTCCCTTATATTTAACCAAATAGGCAGAGTTCTTCTCCTTTCAGATGTAAATTTTTCTTCTCTAAATATTTCACACTTGTCAACCACAAGATCATTTATCACTTTCTAGCCCACGCCTAGCATCCTGATTCTAATATTCTCACTGCAGTTTCACCAGAAGGATTTAGAAGAGGTGTAAACCTGAAGTTTACACTGTGCAGGTCATTCTTAAGAACGGAATCAGGGCCCGGCAGCGTGGCCTAGCAGCTAAAGTCTTCGCCTTGAACGCACCGGGATCCCATATGGCCGCCGGTTCTAATCCCGGCAGCTCCACTTCCCATCCAGCTCCCTGCCTGTGGCCTGGGAAAGCAGTCAAGGATGGCCCAATGCTTTGGGACCCTGCACCTGTTTGGGAGACCTGGAAGAGGTTCCTGGTTCCCGGCTTCGGATCAGCGCAGTACCCGCCGTTGCACCCACTTGGGGAGTGGATCATCGGACGCAAGGTCTTCCTCTCTGTCTCTCCTCCTCTCTGTATACCTGATTTTGTAATAAGAAAATAAAATCTTTTTAAAAAAAAAAAAAGAACGGAATTCAACACCATGTCCAATCCTGGAGAACTAAACGATTCCCATTATCCCATGCAGATGGACTCTTTCTGCCTACCCAAGTTTCTCATTTCTTTCTTTCTTTTTTTTTTTAGATTTATTTATTTTTATTGCAAAGTCAGATATACAGAGAGGAGGAGAGACAGAGAGGAAGATCTTCCATCCGACAAGTCACTCCCCAAGTGGCCATAACGGCCAATGCTGCACCAATCCGAAGCTAGGAGCCAGGAACTTCTTTCCTGGTCTCCCATGCAGGTGCAGAGTGCCAAAGCTTTGGACTGTCCTCACTGCTTTCCAAGGTCACATGCAGGGAGCTGGATGGGAAGTGGAGTTGCTGGTATTAGAACCGGCGCCTACATGGGATCCCAGTGCGTTCAAGGTGAGGGCCTTAGCCGCTAGGCCACCACGCTGGGCCCCACGTTTTTCATTCCTAAGCCAAAACCTCTTTTCTTTGAAAAGAAATATTCCTGCAACATCCCAAAGTGATAACAGCTTTTTAAGTCTTGGTGTATGGATCCTTGTGAAAGTCTCTTAGAAAGGGTGAAATGTGTTACAATAGAAAAGCCTACTCCCTTAAAGAATTACTATAATTCAGCCAGGAATTGTTTCCCCAGAAAAATTGTTATAACATTTTTCTTTTTCCAATTTGTGTTTTTTTATTCTTTCCCATTCTTTTTTTTTTAACACATTTATTTTTATTGGAAAGGCAGATGCACAGAGAGGAGAGAGAGAAAGCTCTTCTGTCTGCTGGTAGACCTGCTAAGTGGCTGCAACAGCAAGAGATAAATCAATCCAAAGGGAGGAGCCAGGAGCTTCTTCCCGGTCTCCCATGCAGCTACAGGAACTCAAGTCCCTGGGCTATCCTTGACTGCTTTCCCAGGCCGCAAGCAGAGAACTGAAAGGGAAGTGCAGCAACCGGGATAGGAACCAGCACCCAACACATGCAAGGCAAGGATATGAGCTGCTTGGCTACCATGCTGGACCTCATTTTTTTGTTGGGTTTGTTGTTGTTTTTAAGTTTTTTAATTGAAAGCAAATATACAGAGAGGACAGGAGAGACAGAAAGAACTTGCATCCCCTGGTATTCCTGTCCGATAGCGATGGACTTGGTGCAAGGAGCCAATATCAAAGGTGGACCCTGACTGATGGTCAAAGCCGAAGTTTATTAGTGGCATCAGACTTTATACACTGAGGGTCATATGGAATAAGGGAGGAGGTATTGAGCTTATCAACAAAACCCAGTAACAGTTTCCATACTCTTGTTTGGAACTCCTTTTGTCTTGTATATTCCACCAAGTGTTCTCACACACCTACTGTCCATTCAACTGTTCTCATACAGATAATATCCAATCAGGTATACAAAAGGTGGCCATTCGGTTGTTCTCATGCAAATATTATCCAATCAACTGTAATCCTGTGCTCGCTGGCCCTCTAGGGTCACAATGTCCTCCTACACCCTGGTTCACTCCCCAAGTGACCACAGTGGCCAGAGCTGAACTGATCCAAAGCCAGGAGTCAGGAGCTTCCTCCGGGTCTCCCATATGGGTGCAGGGTCCCAAGGCCTTCCACCATCCTCTATTGCTTTCCTAGGCCACAAACAGAGAGCTGAATGGAAAGTGAAGCAGCCGGGATAAGAACTGGTGCCCACACATGGGATCCCTGTGTGTGTAAGGCAAGAATTTAGCCACGGGGCTATTGTGCCATGCCCCTATTATAACATTTCTATTGCAAATTCTTTTTTCAGTTCACCACACCTTTATACAGTAACTATTATGTGCTTAACAGGGAGGAAAACCATGACTGTGTCTCCATTTTCCAGAGAATATCATGAACCTGAAGCCAGAAGCGGTGCAATTTTACCCTTTGTTTCTTTCAAAGCTCATGGGTGGATACCATCTACTAACCAGTGGTTTTCTACAAGGGAATGAAAAATCAAATTTCTAGAAGCCATCCAACAAAATCTCTACCTACAGTCCCCTGGGAATGTTAAGTCTAAGTGACAATGAGCTCCCAGCAATCTGATGTCCTAAACAAACTTCTAGAAGCTGTTCCTGGATATCCCAGAGGAGTCCCAAGTCCTCTGCCTTCTGCATTTGTCAGATGTGAACCAATATTCACTGAAAGTTCTTCCATCATCAGTTTAAAAAAAACTGTTATGTTCCACTTACTAAGGCAGGAAGGAGTTATTCATACACCTAAGAAAGATTTGCCAGTTCTCCCCATACTTAAAATTCCTTAAGGAGTTTCTCTAGGTATGTGCACAATGTAGCCCAAACACTTTAGCAAAGCATGCACGTTCCTTTGTAATCTGACACAAGGCCACCTCTCAAATTTCCTCTCTGATCATTCCCTCCTTTGACACTC